TGCTAAGTTTGTACGTCCTCGTAGAGAACCTATCATAGGAGGAGGAGGTCAGGTCAGGTCAGGTCAGATAGGACAGAAAGGCACTGACTGTAGGTCTGGAGAACAAGACGTGCCCTGTGGTAGGAGAGCTGGACGCGTTCATCTGTGTTAAGAAACTCGGTGCGGCGAGTGAAGAGCGGGTGGTGGGGCAGGTGGCTAGCCATGAGGATATGGAAAAATAGGGAGCTTTTTATAGCGATGTCGATCATGATCAGAGAGGTAAGAAATTAGAAGAGTGGTCAGACCCGAAAGAGCGGATGGCTCAGATCCAGGAACGCACCACGAGGCAAGGCACCTACTCCATACGACTATCCCGCTTTGCGCTTAATCCCATCCATGCCTTCTTCGGCCCCCTTGCCTCTTTCGTACACCGGCTCTCTCCGCTGATCCACCGAACAGAAGAACGAAGATGAGAACTCTTATCATGCGAATCTCACTCCTCCCTCTCTCTCCCTCCCCACACTCGATCCTCGCTCCCATGAAGAGCAACGACCTCCCTCCTCCCCCTCCCTCCTTTCCAGAGGGCGGTCTCACTGCATGGCTTACCGTCCTCGGCGGGTGCGTCTCCCCTCTCCTCCCCCTCCTCCCACTCACCCTCCAGCAGCTCCCTCATCCTCTTCTGCACGTTCGGCGCAGTCCAGTCCTACGGTGTCTACCAGGAGTTCTACGCCGTCCGTCCTCTCCTCTTTCCCTTAACCCGTCCTCACTCCTTCTCTAGAAAGCATGGCTCGCCGAAAAGACCGCCTCGGATATCAGCTGGATAGGCTCAGTCCAGGTCTTCCTCCTCTTCGCAGGCGGTCTCCCTGCAGGAAAGCTCTTCGACGAGGGCTACTTCCACCACTCCATCGCTGCCGGCTCCCTCATCTACCTCTTCTCGTCCGTTCCCTCCTCCCCCTCCTCTTCCCCCACTGACACTCCCACAGCATATTCATGCTCTCCCTCTCAAATCCAAACCAGTACTACCAGACCTTCCTCGCCCAGGGCATCGGCATGGGTCTCGGCATGGGCTTGCTCTTCCTCCCCGCCATCTCTGTCACCTCTCACTACTTCAGACGCAGGCGCTCAGCCGCCATGGGCGTCGTACTCGCAGGTGCGAACATCAACACGCACACCCCCGCGAGCCGCGGCCCTGGCTCACTTCAGTCTATTTTTTCTTTTTTCACAGGCTCTTCCTTGGGCGCGGTTATCTACCCCATCATGCTTAACAACCTCTTCAATGCAAAAACCGGTTATCAGTGGGGCGTCCGGTGCGTCATCTACGCGTTTCTCCTATTCCAGTCCATCCCTACCCACTTTACAGCGCAGTCGCTTTCTTGGATATGGGCTTACTCATCATCGCCAACTTGATCATGAGAACTCGCTTGCCTAGCAGAAAGGAGAACCCAAACAGGAAACCCATCGATGCCAGAGGCGTCTTTACCGATCTTGCCTTTTGGCTCTGTATCATCGGGTGGGTCCCTCTTTTCGTGGCTGACGTTGGCCATCTGCTTGGTGGCGCCCATGGTGGAATTGCAATGATGCTCTGATGCTGTGATACTATATGTGATACTCATCTCTTTCCGATATAGCGCCGCCCTTGTGTTTTGGGGTCTTTTCATTCCCTGTAAGTCTCTTTCCTTTCTTTCTCACATCTTTTTTTTTTTGACGGGCTGAATGACTTGCACCTTGATTTTCGCATCTTTGATCTCCTTTCATTCCCGACCCACCGGAACTAACCAACGTTCCTTTCATCTCCCTCCGTTCCTCGTGGCGTCACCTTTACCTCAACGTCGGACTCGGGCTTTCATATGGCAGTTTTCTACCTCCAGGTGTTCGCCTCCACCCATGGCCTATCAGCGACGATGTCGTTTTACGCCGTAAGTCCCCTTGCACTTCTCCTTCTCGTCTGTCCTTTTTCCTTGGCTTCTGCTTCTCTTTCTCCTTCATGTCACCCCATCCGTCCTTCCCGCCTACCTCCGACCTGTGTCCCCGGTCCCACCTTCCTCCGGCCTCTCGTCATCCGCCGTCCGTCTTAGGATCGCACCTGACGCATGACGCCTTTCTCCGTCCTCGTCGTTCTCATTCCTTTCCGTCTGCGCGCTTCGGCTTCTCTATTTATATTCATCACGTCATGTTGTGGTCGTTTTTTTGGTGTTTTTTTTTGGGGGAGGAGGATCTTGGGTGTCTTGGTTTGATGTGTTTCGGGGGTTTGGGTGGCTGATGGCTGATGTGATTGCTTTTTTTCTTCTTTTTTTGACTTGGACTCCTGTTGGTGTTTCTGCGCACGATACACCTATGCGACGCACCACCCTCGCATACTCGACTCCCACTTGCTTATCCGACTCTGACTTGCGTATCCGACACACACCTCGTATACGCGACTCTATCGTATGCCTGAAACCTCTCGCATGCATGACCCTTCGTGTACACCACACCTCGGACACACCTCGGACACACCACCTCGGACATGCGACGCTCTCGCACCCTCAACCCCCTTGCCAAATGCAGATCCCGATCATGAACGCTGCATCCCTGTTTGGAAGGACGATACCCAACTTTCTGGCAGACTCGTGGGGGCCGTTTAATGGTGAGTGGGTTGGCTTCGTCGGGCTTCGTCGTGCGTGGATCGATATCGACGCTAATACTGACACGCTGTCGTCGACAGTGATGATCCCGTGCACGATCGTCTCGGGCGGTTTGATCTTCCTCATGTTCGTGGCGCATACGGTGGGAGGGGCGGTGGCGTTTGGGATTCTGTATGGGTTCTTCTCGGGCGGCTGTAAGTGTTTTCCTCCCTTCCCGTGCTCCCGTGCCCCTTGGTTTTGGGGTTGTGTTATTGACGAACGCGAATGTAGTCATTTCGATCATCACACCAGCCGCAGCGTCCTTTTCGCGCGATTTGAACGAGATTGGGTGCGTTTCTTTTTTCGCCTATGCCTGTCCCCGTCACGTTCTGACAAGGTCCGTTAAACCAACTGAAAAATAAATAAAAAAATAAAACAGGTTGCGGATAGGCGTGACGTCGTTCGTGATCGGGTTTGCGCTGTTGACTGGGAACCCTATCGCTGGCGCGTTGGTTCAGCCGCATGGAGAGGGAACTGCGTACTATTGGTACCGTCCGCTCGTTTTTGCTTCTGTGAGTCGTCGTCTTTGCGTCTTTTTGCCACTTTACGCTTTTTGCCACTTTACGTCTTGCGTCCTTTCTCTCTCCTAAATACCCATACCGCTTCGAGACGGCTGACTGTTTAACGTTTAACTGGGTGTAGGTCGTTGTGTTGGCGGGCGCTGTGTTCCTCATTGCGTCTCGAAGTATGCTTTCGAAACGGAAGGGGACGAAGGTGGTGTGAGGGGGGTAGAAGTGAAAAGTGAAAAAAAGGGATGGGAGGGGGTTGGTTTGCATTGAAGAACGGAACGTCGCTTTTTTCTCTCTCTCTCAGTATCACTATCACCCAGTCACTATTATCACCCACATCGCCATTCCTCGTCCTCGCTCCGCATTCGTCGCGTACACCCCCCTCCCCTCGTGGTACCCCGGTGCTGCGTGTCTCATCCTCGTCCTCGTCCTCACCGCCTCCTCACCCGTGCCTGCTTGCCACACACCCCGTACCCCTCCCTACGTGTCCCCGTTTACGACCTGTCCATGAAATCGGGTAGAGAAGAAGAAGGAAGGAGAAAGGAAAAGGGTCGCTGCGCCTCCCTGGGTCACTTTGTGATTCAGGAGGGTTGCGAATGTCCTCTTTTGTTCTTCTCTTCTTTGGATTCGATGCCTGTTGTATATAATTTTACGAAACGCCGATGCGAGAAGGTGTGTCGTGGGTGTGGGCGCTTCTCCTCCTCCTCCCCCTCCTCCTCGTTCCTCCTCGCTGTCCTCGGTTCACAACTCCCCTGCTATCGACACCCAACACCCAAGTCCGCGCATCCACTTGCCAGTCCTCCCTCGCACCCATCATCGTTTGTTCTTTCCTTGTCCATACGCAAATAATGACGATCCTGCAACCTCGGCCATCGTGATATAGCTTTCTTTTCTTTTCTTTTTTTTTTAATTATCAACAACGACAGCCATCGCATTAGGTTGGTTCGTACTCTTGATGCACTACGGAGTTGTGGTGGGGACGGGACGATGGGAGGTGCGGTGTAGAGACCTTTTTTTTTTGTCGCTGTCGCTGTCGTTGCCGCTGTGGTTGTCGTTGCCGCTGTGGTT